ATATATTATTAGATGAATAAAATAAACCTATTTGAAAAATTAATGCAAATTATATCAAATATATTATTAGAAATTTCTTATTCATACATTTGGACATGAAAATGAAATCTTAGTTTAAAGTATTTTTCTTTTAAATGAAACTTACACGAGGAAAATTTATGTTAGTTGGAGTTTCAATATGAAAGTACTTAGATATCGAGCGAATTAAATTTTTTTAAATATCAGTTGGCATAATTCGATTTGTACACGAGTTTGGATCGATGTGATGGAGTTCTAAGGCTTTGCTTCGTGTAATATATGACGTGTACTTTGAATTATTCTTTCAATAGACTAACACAATAACATTTTGTTTGATCGTATTCATAATTATTATATAAGTGATTTGATAATGTAAAAATTCATTTACACTATCTTATAGTATTTCATTTAATTTCAAGAAATGATAATCATATAATAAAATGCCAAATATAATGCATGTATGGTGCCAATGACTTTTTTTCTTCTTAAAAATTATACGATTTAAAATTGAAATGATACTTTCTATCGTACCGATCACACGATATACGGTTATAATATCGATGTCAAATATTTATGAAAGAAATAAATATCTATGCTTATTTGTCAGAATTCATTAAAACTATATTGGTCTAGTCCAACTACTACAACCTTGGACATTTATTGATATATAAAATTTGTTTCACTTATTCAACTCTTGAGCTAAAATATAAAATAAAAGAAAAAAAAATCATTAAAATTCAACATCAAGGCTTGTACTTTATGCTATAGGGATTGCACTTTCAAATTTTTTAAAATGCATAATTTATAGTATATAAATAGACACTTTAATTTCGCCTCAACTGCCAACCAAATACTCCAATCTAAAAAATACACACATTTAAACATCTAAATATCTCAACTCCTTCCGACGGCGTCTCGTAGACATCTAACACTGACGTGTCATATAAATTTTGGGATGTCAAAATAATCATTTTATAACTGCCACAATAAAAATGAGTTAATTTGTCTAGATGTGCATTATTAAAGTTGAAATGCTTACTTATCGTGCCTTAAAAGTCAAGATATTTGACAAAAAAATAATAATTTGTTTTTCACACCCTTACGTTATGTCTTGTGATTATTAATTAAATAAACTAAATCAAATAAACATTATTAATTATTGACTAAATAACAACAATTTCATCATTGTGAATTTATTAATAAGAATTTAAGTGAAGATCACAACAACAAATTATTGACTAAATAAGTAACTTAAATGTTGTGATAAAATACAGTTATCTCACTCGTGATCACTAATTAATTTCTTCCAAATTAACTTTTAATATTATGATTAATATATATTACTGTATTGATATATAAATCAAGTTAATTCTTCTTTTTTGAAATTTTTTATTGATTTTCAATTACCTAACTCTTTCGCTCATAGTTTTTTTTTCGTCTACGATGCTCTATTTTTGCTATTTTGGGTCGATTTTTGTCGTATTTTAATCAGTGACGGACTCTGTTTGAACTCAGAATTTGTGGTTCATTGCTCATTATTTTCAAAAGGCGGAAGTTTCTTTATTTTTTTCGAAGTTTGTGTGTCACGAAATTGGAATTCAAGAGTATCTTCATTTTTCATGTATATATTAGTTCATAAATTATTCGAAATATGTGACCAATTATGTTTGAGCTCAAATTTTGTGGGTCTATTCGTAACGACCTATTTAATGATACTCATTGTTCTCGAAAGGCAAAAGTATTCAAGATTATCTCGTTTTTTTTCATGTATATGAATTCATGAATTTTCCAAATTATGTGTGATCGACTCTAATTGAGCCCAAATTTTGTGTATCCATTGGTGACGTCCTATTTAAGAATACTCATTGTTTTCTAACGACAAACACCACTTTTTTGGAGTTTATGTTTCACGAAACAAGAATTCGAGATTATCTCATCATGTATTAGTCCATGAATTATCTGAAATATGTGTGACGTATTTAGTTTTAGGTCAAATTTTGTGTGTCCATTGATGACAACCTATTAAATGATACACATTGTTTTCGAACATCAAACGCCGATTTTCTTGAAATTTATGTTTCACGAAACAAGAATTCATCTCGATTTCGCTTTTTATTAAATTATTAATTTCCTAAGTTTCACACGAAGAAACTTTCAATCAAGAATAACTTTTTATTAAGAAGATTCATCTGTTACAATTGAACAAAGATTGAAACATCCTCACTTTCATGAGATGTCTACAACTCATATTAATAATTAACAATGACAAGAAACTTGAAATACTACTCGAAAATCGAGCTCTACGAAACTCATAAATACCAAAAAAACAACAAATTTAGTTCACGAAATGACAGTTCTTCCTGATTTCACCCTTGTATCCTGTGAGGACGTCTAAAGTTCCCATATGCACCATTGCATCCGCGAACTTCTTACCCCATACACGTCCATATCTCGCGTTAAAGTTCACCATTTTCGCGGTTTTAGGATCACTCATCAATGTTTGATCAGTAACTAAAAGTCCCTTGTTACTCTTCAAATCCATATAGTACTTGTTATCCAATTTGTTTGGTGTTATAACATCAAAATTAGTAGGATTTGCTACTCCTGTTCCATTTGTAAGTGATTCTGGTGGACAAATAGACTTCAACATCCTCTCATATACGCGATCAATTGGTAGATTTTGTTGCTTGTTTTGAGGGTATAGACGATTCGCGAAAACAGCACAATGAGCAACACCAATAGAATGTGCACCAGAGAGTGTTACCATTTCATCAACAGACATACCTTTTCTTGCAAAGCTCTTGATTAGTTCCTTGACACCGACAAACGGAGAGGGGAGATTGGCTAAGGCCTCGTCCTTGATGGAAACATGTCCATCACGACGTCCTGCTTGGACATCATAGTTTATTTTCCCAACTTTGTAAGAACTGTCGCGAGCTGCAAAGGCTAGAATATCAGCACACGAGACAGTTCCTGGACATGCAGCCTCGAGCTGCTTTTTAGCTTCATCGATCACCTCAAAACCTCGTAAACTGTTCTTGTTTGCTATGCTTTCCTTTTCTGAATTCAGTCCATCCAATAGCACAGATGCATCACATCCCTAAAGTACATGAAAAATGTAAGTAACACGCGTAAAACTCCTCTCATCTAAAAGCTTAATGAGACGGTAACACAAGTAAAAAAAAGTGTTTACATGTATTTATAACATAAGAAAACTCAAACCAACGCGTAAAGAGGCAATGTTGAGACATAACATTAGCTAGTAATTACTAAATGTAATGCTACACTCGCTAACAGCTCAAGAGTACTTCAGATAAGATGGTCACACAATTCAACATGCAGACTAAATGTAACTCGAAGAATGAGATCATCAAGAGAACAATAGTACATTAGAACACAACGTACCCTCACGAAGCAATCATGAAAATGCAACCTGATAAGGCCAGCAGCAATGCCTGGATTACGAGCAACGGCCTTATACACAACCTTTCTCACAATGGCTTCAGCAGAGGGACAAGTATAGCGATAGTAACCTACTTCAATCAGACAGGAGGGTTGTCGTTTAGCCAACGATGAAACTGAAAGAGACAAAACCAAACAACAAACAAGTACAAAAACAGAACAATTAAAGCCCTTAGAATCCATCAGATAGCTATTAGTATGTCTTCTTTTCGCGCTTTAATCAAGTGAATGATGGATAATTTATGTAACACCATGGAACATTTTATAGCATGTAACTATGCAGTTATGGAATCTTTTGTCAATATAAAAAACAGAACATGTTTACCTGTAACAATATGTATGACTTTTGAAGTGTTCCACAACTACCACATTATGATTTTTAAGAACTCAACGGGCACTTCTCCTTCGAGTCAAACAAACAAAGAAGGGAATCGCGTTAAGTTGTTACAGAAAGTCAATCTTTCATCAACTTCTGAATTCGAAAACACATTGTTACTCTTTCACATACAAGCGGATTACACAACACATACGTTTATTTTTCAAATCATTCATATATCCTAAATGATCGAAGACTCATACTTTTTTCGAGTTTAATAGTCCATAATAAGTGTGACTAGTAACCTGGGAAATAAGGCAAGTAACCTCCTATAGGCTACGATAGGTTAACTATACGGTCAGTATGTATAAGTTAAATTAATGGATAAAAAAAATATTCAATCTTAAGTTTAGTATACTATGTAGTTTGGAATAGTTGGTAGCATCTTAAGTGTTGAAAATGGATAAATAAATCCCAAATGAAGTTTGAGTATGGTTTTTTAATTTTATTAGTTGTTACTTGGTAGCCACTAGCCACTATGTTGTTATTTTTTATAGAAAATATTTGAATGTCAACTCATTATTATAAGTTTTATAAAGTCTTGACATTTTTCTGATAATAAATAAATTTTAAAGTTATATACATAAATATTATAATTGTACTATCATTAGAATTTATTAGGTTGGCAATTATAAGTAACTTGATTAACATGTCAAGGGTAAGTAATGTGACATTTTGTAGTATTTTTCTTTATATGTATATTTTTTTATAGCTAATTTCTTTTTTGATTATTAAAAACTTACGTATAGTAATTAAAATATAATAATTTCTCTGATATGATAAAATATTTTTCTTCCGTAAAATATTAAAAATATCAAACTTCCAACATCTGATACTTGTATTTATTCGTATTAAACAACTTTGTACTCGTGACTTCTACATTCTGGAAGGGTTTCCATTGTATATAGTTTTTAGTTTGCTTCCGTTTCTGTTTTTTCTTATTGTTAGTGTTGATCCTACCCTTTACGGATTGACTTACCTACTGATTGGTGTCATCATGACTCGAGAAGCCGGGTTGTAACAAGTTGATAACAATTTTATTATTTCTAAAATTGAGTCTTTCGAATTTGAGGGCCTAAGACGTATGCCTCGTTTTTAGAGGGCATTGAGCAGACCTGCATCAATGTACTAGCCATCAACATCATAGAAAACAACACTAAAATTCTCAAACAACTTATTGCAATTCTGATTTCAAACTATTACATAGGAGAATTCTTGATAAAGTCATATATTGCTCAAGCCTTAACATACAATTCCAAGTCATTATACACCATCAAGCTGTACTAACAGCTTCTGTTTGAGCCGATTCGCCTGCTTCCCAGAAAGATGTTGGCTTTCCAGTCTTTGACACAGTCTTGAGAACAGCATCTGGTTGAACATTGCCCTTCACAGTCACCTTTTGCTCCTTCAGATCAATGTCGAAAGTTTCTACACCTGAATATGGTTATGAAGAAGACATAAGTCGATATATTAGTCAATACCAGAGCAAATCTGTTAGGTTGCAGAAACTAGAATACATAAACGATATGAGGACCTAAGATGTCAATTCACGTCATCGCCTTTTCTTAATATTTTATCTGTTACCAGAACAATAAGCAAATAAGCAACTCAGACTATCGTTAGTTATTAGTCATGGAGTTAGCAGTCGAAGGAAGGAATGTTTGGGATGTCTTGTTCAGTGACTTATTGAAGTATTCCAACCGTTTATGGTACAGTCAACTAATTGTGGTAGAGCGAGAAAGATGATGAGCACACTCGAAGAGTGTTGTTGGCCAGGTCTTACACTTCTACTCATGGAATAGACTAGCAACAACCATTTCACGGTTTACCCAAAGATGGATGAACCAACCAAAACTGTGCAGCTGTGATGGGAGAACAGAATAGATGTGTCCATAAAATCGGAACAATGATCTTCACTCTCTAATTTCATTATATATGGCGGTGTTTTGATTGGCACATGACTAGAAGAGCATGTCATTAAGAATAAAATAAGAAGCTCAAAGTCGAAAGTATATAAATACAGAAAAGTATCATTTTGTGAAACCGAGAAGTTATATGTTCTATTTGTACAAAGGATTTATGAGAAAGGCAATACTGTAAAGTTAAATGTTGTAAAGCACTAGGACTCTTTAAGTAAAATTGTTTACCTTCCATTTTCCCCAAAACCCTTTTCACAGCACCAACACAGCCTTCGCATGACATGCCAACCTTGAGAACGACAGTCTGCTAGCACAAGGGGTAAAAATATCGGTGTTAAATTGACAGTTGCGGAGATGTAGAGTTATGATAGCATAAATCATAACAAAATAGCACAATCATCACTTAGGCTGTTAGGCAGCACATCATGACGCTGTTGCCTAATACTTACATTTTAAAGGTTTCAACGGAGTCACAACACACACAAGAACTGTTCCTCCCCCCAAACCCCCAAACCAAACCCCGGATCAAAAAACAAAGAATCCATTCATTCAAATTCAATCAATTAATATATTGTTTCTCTGGAAAACTCGTATTATAAAAGCACTCTTCTGAATCAGTAAATTCAGTTCTGTTATGATACTACTGAAGATCTCCCTCATTAATGCAAATCGACACAGGGGAGCTCTCATTCTATTCTAGATCAACAATGATACTTAGCCACTCAAGGGATGACTTGGACCAACTCTCAAACCGGAAAAAATCAAGAAAAGGAGAACGTAGAAATAAATATTCACCAAAAACAGAAGGTAATGTATTAAACTAGCTCATTAATGAGGAAAATACTCAAACTAGCTGTTGAATTCTTGAATTTAGTTAATCCAACCCCATGGATCTTCTTTGCTAGTAAAACCACTCATAGTTGTAAACATACACATTCATCCATCATCAAACATTTATAGCATAACAAATATACAGAGTCCATGACTTTTCCGCTAAAACAAGAATTACCCAGATCAAAATCCCTACTAAACAGGCAAATCTAATCAAGCCCTTCAACAAATTACTTCAAATTATCATCAAAACCAAGATTCTACTGTTGAACTTAGTTTCTATACATATGGAAGAGGAAAAACGGAAGACTAAACATCGCAACGAAAGGAAAAAACACTCATAATCAATCAACCAATTTATAAGAAAGATGATCAAGTCATCATACTATCATTACATCTAAAAGGAATAATTAAACTATTCCATAAATTATTGAAACGATCACTGCACTCGTTAACAGACCTGTTGATCTAGCTCACACCAGGTACAGTAGTAAACAAACAAACTCATCCATCTTCAAACAGTTGAAGCTCAAAAATCATGTAAAGCTTCAATATTTTTTCCAATTGAAACAAAAAAATATTCCAAGCACACATCTTTTAAGCTAAAACAAGAACAACAAAGATCAAATTCCTATTAAACAAGCAAATCTTATCAAACCCTTCAACAATACCATCAAAAACAAAAACTTGAATGTCGAACTTAGCTTCTTTACATATCATAGACAACAACAAGTCAACAACATACCCAATGTAATCCAACTCGCGAGGTCCGTGGAGGGTAGGACACAAACCATACCCCTACCTTGAGAGGCGGAGAGGTTGTTTTCGATAGACCAGCACCCCCACCCCACCCCTCACCCCCCCCCCCATTCAATCAATCAATCAATGAGCTACACCTGAATCTCAAACTAATAAGGGATTTTCTACCCATTAACAACAAATTCATTCAAATCCCTTTTACATTCAGCTAAAACAAAAACAAATTAAATCAAAATCCCCACAAACAATGCAAAATCCATCAATCCCTTCATATAATCAATTCAAAATCATGTTTTGAAAAATGCCCAATTCATATAACATATCAAAGATTCAAAATTTCAAAAAAAGGAAAGTAAATTCAAAGTACCTGAGACATGATGAGGTTGAATTGAGAAGAAGCTTGTGAGGTTTTTCAAGAGAAAAAAATTGGTGATATACAAAGTTTGAGAGAAAAAAATTGACCTTTTGATTTTCTGTGATTTGAGAGGTGTGAAAGGCTGCTAATTTATATGAAGAAAAAAAATAGATTCTTTGCGTTATTTTTTCAAAAAAAAATTCCGAAAGATCAAAAACGCATCTAAAATATATGGCTTTTTGAGTTATCTATTTAAATTATCACATACTTACTTTTTCTATTTTTTAATTATTATTTGTTATTTACTAAAACATAATTAGCTATCAATTATTCGTTTTTCGAGAGACGGAGCCAATATGAGGTAGGGTTTATTCGAACAATCGAACTGCTTTTGATGAAAAATTACACTATTTATACCTAGTTTAAATAATAGTTAATGAACTTTTTTAGTCTAATTTGTCTATTTTAAATCTCTTTAAGAAAATTGTAATTATACTTTTATTTTTTTTCAAACTAAATTAAATTTAATCATGATTTATAATTGAGTTGCATTTTGATAAATAAATAAATTTTTTCAAGAAAGATAGAGACTTTTTTTTTGTATTTTTATAAAGTAAAAACATTAACTTTCTTATATTATACTCCCTCTGTTTCTATTTATGTGTCCATATTTCTTGTATCTATTTATTTGTCTATTTGACAAATTAAGAAGGACAAAAAAAGAATTTATATTATATCCTTATTAAAATTTCTTGAAAAATTTAAAGTTTTAATTTATTATTTTTAAAGTTATAATTTTAATATGTGTTTTATTTTTAAAATGAATAACTAAATAAAGTCAGTTATAAGTAATATTTTTTAGATCAAAGTTTAAAGCAGTACAATTATCCAAATATTATTGAATTTTCTATGGTAGTACATGTACTACTTCATGCAGTACAAAGTCGTGAATATATATAAAATAAAATAAAATATATATAAATAATAAATAAGAATATTCTTATTCTTTATTTTATTAGGGAGTTGAAAGAAACTTTTTTTGGACCAAAAATTTATCATTATTTCACATATTTTGGAATCTTTAACAACTTGTTACATATTTGTATGTGAATATTTTATCTTTTGATTATATAGAAAGTAAAAAAATATTTTTTATTATATTATATTATTAAATTCATTCTTATGTAACGATAAATGATTTCATTTTAGAATGGATTTCATGTTATTATTTTTTATTTTGGTTTATTATGTAATAATTCTAAATTCATATACGACACTTCTATTTTAAGTTTTATGTTTCAACTTAATGGTGTTTGATTTTATGTAATGATGAAAAATGATAGAGTAGTATAATTTATTTAAATATTATACGTATTTATCAAAACAATATAATATAATTAGAGGTGTATAATTTAGGATTTCAAAAGAATGAGAGCATTTGATGAAAAGATGAATTTAAGATATAAATTTGATTAATTTAATATTTAGACTTATCACTAATTCGTCAAACTATTAAAACTATAGGCTTAAATAATTCTTCCATATCTACGGTATTGAGATTGATTGTATGGTATATTATCGAGCACAACTAGTTTTATCATACATATTTAGTTTTAATTATAAATAAATAAAAAATAATGTAATAGGTGAAAAATCTGTAAAAGTTAAAGCAAAAAAAAAGTAAATTAATTGAAACGCCAAAAATGTTATCAATAATTATTTAGAGAGGTGTTACAGACGTTTAAGAATTAAATAAGATATAAGATTTAAATTTCAAACTTCACTAAGGAGGTACCACACATTATCATCGCATTATATGATACTTCGAGCATTAGTTCACAAATATTATATTTATTTTTGAGAAGAAAGCATGAATTTACATGAACCCAGAAAATTATGTGTTAAGATTTGAGAAGATGAGTGTACTACTACAAAAAAAGTAAATTAAAGGTATAAATTTGACTGATTTGATCTTTAGGTTTTTAACATAGAACACATTAAACTTTAAAAATATATTAATTAAAATTTCAAAAATGTTACCAAATAACCATTTAGAGAGGTGTTGCCCATATTTAGTGTTGGTGTAATATACCACAAATATCCACAAATATAATATTCATCAATAGACATAACATAATGTATAATGTGACACATAATATACCTTTTATCAATATTAAAATATCATACGAACATTTAGAATGAAAAAATATAAGATTAAAATTTCTGACCTCATCTAGAGAGATACACTCGACCATCATCACATTATATGAAATCAGGGTATGAAGTTACATTTGTTAAGAAGTATTTTGTCTTCTAAGATGGAATTCCTTAAAACAAGTACGAATATTATCGAATTTTAATGCAAATATGAAAAATAAAAAGAAAGGTACATAAAGCCTCAATACAAATAAAAATAACTTTTTTACCGACGTTAATTTATTATCATTAGATTCAATGTCCTTATAAGTTTTAGCAACATTTATAAAAAGTATTAAAATGTATCTGTCACTAATAGCCGCTAAAAATATATACATTTATTATTTAACGACAATATTATCGTTAAAAATCTAATATAGTGCCTATTAAATATGACTAAAATTCATGTATATATAACTGAAGTTCGATTATTTTTATTCATACTTCAATCATACGTGCATACAATTCAGATAATTTTTTACCATCTGAACTTTAAATATTTATAACGACATAGACTATTTTCAAAATTAAATTTATCCGACATAATTTCAAAGATCGTATATTTAAAAATGGATATAAACAAAAAATATAATAAAATAAATATACGTTAAATAACGATATCAAAACAAACTATCCCGTAAATAAAATTGAAAAGTGTGTCGAGACGACCCGAACCTTCAAGTTTCGGGTCATATTCATTTCCTTCTCCTCTTCCAATCCCCAAATTTCATTTTCAAACTCTCTCAAAACCCCTAATTTTCTGCAATTTTCAGATCTCCGATCAATGGCGAAACAATTCAACGTTCCTCCGGTGATATTCCCCTCCGATGGAAACCCCAGTGTACAGCAACGCCGTCCTCCGGCTAATCCACCGACGGCTCCTTTTCAGCCGCCGAGATCTTCAAACCCTGGAATACCTTTTATGTCATTTGACATTGGATCAGCAGCTGCATCAACTTCATTTTCCACTCCCCAGTTTGCCTCCGCCACCATCGGCGGCGGCGGTGGATCAATTGGATTTGAAGATGAGCCGCCGCTATTAGAGGAGCTTGGGATTAATACAAAGCAAATTTACCAGAAGACTCTTTCAATACTCAACCCATTTCGAATCAAACCAGATCTTCACGAAGATGGTGACCTTTCTGGACCATTTATATTTCTAATGGCGTTTGGATTGTTTCAATTGCTAGCTGGAAAGATCCATTTTGGGATAATACTGGGATGGGTTGTAATGGCTTCGATGTTTCTATATGTAGTGTTTAATATGCTCGCTGGTCGAAATGGGAACTTGAATTTGTACAGATGTGTTAGCTTGATCGGTTATTGTATGTTGCCCATCGTGATATTATCCGCGCTATCACTGTTTTTGCCTGGTGGTTTGGTGATCAAGGTGCTAACCGGAGTTTTTGTTGTATGGTCAACACGGGTTTGCACAAGGCTTCTGGTTGAGCTGGCTTCGTATGGAGATGAACATCGAGGGCTTATTGCGTACGCTTGTTTCTTAATTTACATGCTTTTCTCTTTGCTAGTGATATTTTGATGTTTGCAGAACTGAAAAAAAGTTTGCATTTTGCAGCCTGCACTGATTCGATTCTTTTGTCTTAGCTACTGAGTAGGAAACTTGATTATGCAGTGTTAATTTTACGGTATTTAATTGATCTCTTCTGGCTTGGTTGTTATCTGTTGAAAGATATAAACTTTTTGTGAATCAAGATGGTTATCATGTTGTGCAAAAAGCTTTTGGTTTTCGAAATCGTGTTTATGTGAAAAGATTATGAAGGATGCTTGTTGTGTTGTTGTTGACATGTCTTGATGTTATACTCCATTTTGCTTTTGTGATATGTACATTGTCATGAAAACCAGGGGAAGGTGTGTCTATAAGGATATAGAAAACAGGGTGATAGACGTTCTTGTCACTTCGTTTATCCTGTTTGCTGTTAGAGAATTTGATTGAAAATAGGGATGATAGATGTTCTTGTCACTTCGTTTATCCTGTTTGATGTTAGAAAATTTGATTGAAAATAGGTTGATAGATGTTCTTGTCGCTTCGTTTATCCTGTTGGCTGTTAGAGAATTTGACTGAAAATAGGGATGATAGAGTGCCTCATGTTCAGAAGGTATGGTAAAGTGGAAGTGAGTCCGCAAATATCTAAACATACGAGACTTTCATACCAAAGACTAGTTGCTTAGACTAACTAAAGCAGAGCATATGCCTTTTGGATGAGTCGATGGAGCTTTGAATCGACAATCCTCAACTTCTAAAAGATTTCTAGTGTCTTGTTGTATCAACTAGAAGTAACTTCTTAGTTTAGATATGGATCTAAGATAGGTTATGGAGATCGAATTGGTCAAATTCCAGCCAACTTCTGTCGATGAATCAGTTTCGTGTGTAGTTTATCTCAATCATGAGATGAAGACTTGGATAAAGCAAAGTTTGCTGTCAGTTTATCTCATTAGTTTGCTGTTAGTTAATATTCAAAAGAATGTATCAGTTTTTTCTGAGCATGTCAATGGGGGTTACATTGAAAATCTGTTTCTTCTTCTCATAACCTGCTGGTTTCAGTTGTGAGTTAGTGTCTTTGTGCATCGAACTGTCTTTGTTAACTGTCTTTGTTGAGCTGAATCTTAACCAGAACTCTTTAAGTTTTTTCGTTTAGTATTGCTCAATTTCGGATAGTACTAGTACTAGGACAAATATGATCGTTTTTTCCGTTTTATAAATAATTTCTCTATCTCTAAGGTCACCTAATCACATATTAACTTATTAAAATTATATATCACCTGAATTATTAAATCTTCATTCTTTTTCTTTCTTTTTTTTAGTTACTTAATTTTTGGTTGGTACACTTCTAGAAGTATGTCAATAAACTTCATTTCTCAAATTAATTTTTGAGTTAATCACGATTGAATTGAATTAAGGATTTG